AACGCCTGAAAGAGATAAGAACTGATAACCAGCATGGCAAGGAGATGTTGCTTTTGCAAGTGCCGAATTTCCTAACCTGACAATCAGCGCAAATTCTGGAAACATAACGAAAACCCAAGTGTCCCCTTGCAAGGAAATGAGAGCTTAGGTGTTGACTATAAATAGATTATAAAGAAGCATGGGTGGTTCGCAGAGCAGTTTGCTAGAGCCAAGGATATTTGGAGCCAAATTCGGTTCTTGCACATAAAAATTCCCTAGAATTCAGGGTGAGTTCATACACACAATTGCTTGCCCAGGCAGTCTGGGGCTGACAGGCTGCACCCAACTGCCTCTCGCAATTCTCCCTAGTAGTACAGAAGATCCATCCAGGCTGACTCAGAGATCCCAGGGGAGAAGACTTCTAAATAAAAGTAAATATGATGGTAAAGAAGTTGCATATACAGTACCAGTGGGTTATTTTTTTTTTTTTAAATAATCATGCTTCACCATAATCCCGCAGCTAAGCAAGAGCCAGCCAGGTGTTCTCGGGGACAAAATACGATGCCGTACAAGACCAATGTAAGCACACCCAGCAAGCCACTACATGGAGCACTGTGTACGAAAGCATCACCTCCCTCGGCTGTAAAACACTCACAAGCAGTAAACTGAAGAGAATCCTTAATCCTTCAGTGTTATCATTATTGGAGTATCATTCACCCGCTTGTCTGCAAGCTGCCTTCTTCTCCCACCAGCTGCTTAGTCTTACAACAAAGCCTCCTTGCTGGCTCCAGGGACCAACAATAGGCTCTCCCCTGAGCTTATGGCAGCATCTCCACCATCCCCTGGCAGGAGGCAGCATCACAATAATTTGACAGGCATCCTCCCGAGGAGGCTCAACACATCGGTCATGCTGCTGACACCCCACACCCAGCGGAGCTCATCCAGACCACAGAAGATTTTTCGATATGGGCAGCTGCTCCTGATGGAGCATAGCTGGTTTTTCTGTTTCACTATCAGCAGAAAAAGAAAGTACCTATTTCCTGTGACAGACCTCACAACACAGCCGTGTTGGTTTGAGCTAAGTCTGCTTGAGTAAAGCAAAGCAGCAGGTAATCAGTAGAGAGGACTGAGGTCCTATTTCTGGTCGAAGAACAAATCTACTGATGGGCATCTAAAAGGAAATAGTACTGCAAAAACTGTTGCAAGTTACCTTTTATGATGTGCAAAAAAGTCTCTCTTTCCAACAAGATAAAAATAATTACTCTTGAGATTTTTTTAAAAAGGAAATTGAAAAACCACAGTGTTTTCACCACAGTATTTTCAGAGGCTGCACTGCTGTTGGGCAGCACCAAAACCAACCAACATTCACTGTCCAGAATAACACTAATTATCTTGATCTGACTGCTCCGACTGAATGAATTAAAACTATGACCCTTGTGTCCCTAAATAGGACCTGCCATTCTAATATGGCACTGAAAAAAGTAAGTCCTTCCCTTCATATAGTGCCGTGAGATAAAGGTCCATCAGTTTATCACCAATGCACCAATTTTGTTCAGACAACTGTTGCTTAAAGGATGGTTAAGGCTAATAGCTTGAATGAAGACAAATCCTCTCTTTTCCCACGTGAGAAAGACAAGGGTTCACAAATCTCCACGTAACGCTTTTTTTTTTTTCCCTTAAATTTGCTGGATGAAAGTCCTAACCTCTGAACAGTGACTCATTTCTGAAGCTTGACATGCTGGGATGCTCTGACTTATGCAGGCAATGGGGAACTGGCTTTGATTGAGGTTTCTGCCATCTTTAGTGTTCAAGGTTCCTGGCAGTTTAACTGCTCTTAAAGATAATAAATCCCTTATGAGACAAGAAGGCTGAACAATCACATACTTCAGACTAGCTCAATCTGTATAGTTCCAAGAATAACTTCCAGTGCAGGTGATAGCAAGCATATGATAAGTAAAGTTCCAGGAGAAAGCCTGTTGAAAAACCAGAATTATGGGCAACAGACTGAACTGCTGGTTTTATGGACATAGCTCTATTCCAGCACTCAGGCAGTAAAACTAAAATGAACTCCCTCAAAGTTAAAAATACCCAATAAAACTCAATAGGCAAGGTAATTATTTTGACTCGACAGAGGGAGAAGCCAGGTCACTCGTTCCCACAGAGAGTAGCTTACCTTGCTGACACCAAGTAGCAAGACATCTTTCAGTTCATCTGGTTTTTTCAAGGCTACATTTTGTGATACGGATTTGTAACACTGGCCAAGCCTATACCACTCTGGGCCAAATAAAAAACTAAAGAGTAAAAGAAACGCAGGCAGCACGTCCTCCAACAGCCTCTCCTGTGGTGCCACAGCTCCCCCAGGGGACCGGGCTGGTTGTCCCGTTTACATTCCCATGGCTGCTCCGTAACACAGGTTCTTCGAGAACTTGGCTGTGAGATTTGCTGGGTCAATGCCTGTCCTACATGTACCGACACAGCAAGTCAGGGTGGCACCCGAGGGATGAAGGTATCTTCTCTCTTTCTACCTTTCCCTTAGAAAAACAGAGGTGAACACCAGTAGCAACCGAAGGCGATAGCTCCGACATTACACAATAAATCCATGATAGACATACACCTGAATGACTGAAACTTTATATTGCATGGGTTATAAAGGCAACATTTGCAACATCAGCTGCTTTTGCCCTTTCTCCTGGCAAGGACCCGCATACTCTATGGAAGTTTTGATTTTCTATAGGTACAATATAGCACCGGTCTGTCACAAAAGCAAAACTGAGAACTCCAGCAGTAACGTAAAGGAGATATTTATTGTCAGGTAATATCACATCAAAATAAGTAAGCAAATGCCATATTAACTAACAAAATACAGGAGAATGTCTTGTGAAGTCACCAGATTTTAGTTTCTGGCATCTTCAAAAAAGAAATTTTTGTTTGGCTGACAGGAAACCACAAAGCACAACTGTCCTGCGCTTGGAGCAATCAGCCACGTATGGGGACAACAAGTATAGGCCAAATAAATTAGTTGTAAACAGATCCATTTACTGTAATTCTAACCACCTCATATTTTTTCTTCATATTTGAGGGTATGGGCTTGCTTTTTTTTTTTTTTTAATTTTCCTACAAGTTCCAAGATTTTTAGGTCTTGGTACTATAGGGACCAGTTTTCTAAATGTTTATTCTCTGGGCTGGCAATAGTGGTTTATTCCACTGAGAAGATAAACAATTAGCTTAAACAAAGTCTAATGTTACAGACAAATTATTTATGTTTGTGGTAATTGCTCAAGTTGGGGGAGCAAGTTCTTTCATGAAGAATTATGACATGGCTTGCTTGTTTAGTATTAGTCAAGCATACCAATATTTCAGAGCAGTGAAAACGAGGGTGTTTTCTCCATCCTAGCCACTCAAACGGTGGGACACAAAGCTTGACTCTTGGCGTTAACAGTGCAAGTACAGCTCTTAAGGAAATCAAAAAGCCTCGTGCCGTTTCCCCCCCTCTCCCCCCAAGCAATCCAGTTACTTTAGAAAAGGTATTAGTGCAGGATTAACCCATTGCCTGTTGAATAGCACAGCCCCTAACCCATTCTCTTGCAATCCTCAAACAGAACACATTAAAGTTCAAGGGTAAACAACCATACAAGGAAAACAACAGAAATCAGCATACCTGTTAAGAGCAGGAGAATACAGAAAACACCCTTAAGGTGAGCTGTTCCAATTAAGCACCTTTCTTTCGATGTCGGAAGACAGCATTAGTCCTTGACTAAAATACACCTTCTTGTGACTTCTAATGGAAACCAAAGAGTGATTTATAATCGCTGTGCCTTTCACCACCGAGATGAGGAAGGTACACTCAATGTACCTTCAAACAAGTCCTTCAAATGACATTCTGACAAAATATGTCAGGCTCAAGTGAATCATCTTCAAGAATGACCTTAGCTCAGTGATGTAATCAGCAATTAAAATTCTAACGTTGCTACCATGCCTCCGGTAATTGTTTTCTAAGTTACATCCCCGTACCTCCCTTCATAATGGAATTTGTGTCTGCTAAAAAACCACTGAAATACAGCGCTCAGTTTCACAAAGCGCAGGCCAGCTGTACGTCATTCGGGAATCTGCACTGGTGTAAATAATTTTGTTCTCCCCAGACAGCCCAAACCAAGATAAATGGGGGAAATAGCAGTCAAGTCACACCTGTGGAGAATTTTGTCTTTTTCTAACCACCCAACACCATAAATTTCCCATGTAATTCTACATTCACTTTGTCAATAGCAAAGCTACTAGAACTATTACATCCCAGTTAAGTGTAAGGTTACTTATCCCACGAAGACACAGGTAGTTAAGACAATAACATTTACTTCAGATAATATTGATTACATAGCCAAGGGATACACTGAAAATTTATATATCTGTAACTTGGAATGCTTGAGATGGTTTCCACTGAGCTCTCACCCCTGATGCTCTTCCTCAGTGATCTGATGTTGCAGCCTGGGTTTATTAGGATTGTGTTCAATCAACCAGTCAGCAAGCCAAGTCTGTGGAACAAAAACCCCAAACATTTTCAGTTTCCTGTTGTTTTGTTAAGCGTATGGGAGAATATTAAAAGCATTACATGAAACCTCTGATACAGACACTCTCCTACCATGCTGCAAAGCCAAGACCTTTCAGAAAAAATGGACATACAAACAACTTGTTTTTTTGAAATGTTCTTTTAAATCTTTGCAATTTATATTGCTTCTGAACAATTCACACTAACCTTCAGAAGACAACTTTTCCTGGCAGTGTCTATCTTTGTGTCTGTACAAGAACATTTGAGCCATACTGCAAACAACCCGGTCAGCTCTGTTTTGGAATGAGACTGTACAACATGCATGGAACTGCTGAATGAAACATTACTCCCGACAACACTTACAGATACTTTATCTAGCGATCATTCATTAAAAGTGCCAGACTTCTGCACTGAAATCACCTTATAGTACCTAAGACTTGAAACCAAAACACAATTACTTTTTGAAATTCAAGTTGTAAGTTTTCCAGCAAACTGCACTTAAATAAGAATGTGGGAAGTAGGAATGCCTTGAGCCCTAACTTCATCTGCCAATGTCGCAGCCTGGCCTTAGGCAAATTAACCCTTTGCCTCAGTTTCTCCACTTGTAAAGAGAAGTTTTTAACACATCCTTATTTACTTCACAAGGCTGCTGACAACTCGCTTCTGGAATGCTAAGTACAACAAACTTCATACCATACTGTGAAGTGAAAGAATTTATAGAATAGCAGACCAGTAAGGTAAACGACACTCTCCTTTTATTGCCAGGTACAAAAAGATTGGTTTGCAAAGAATGAGACAACAAGCAGAGCACTATGACAATCCTCACAGGTTAGTCAGCAACAGCAGAACAACAGTAAGAACATGACAGAAATGGAAACCAAACAAATCCCAAAACACAAAAGCCCAAAAGCCCTCAGAAAGACTACTTGGGAAAAAGAAATTTTAAAATCATTTGAGCCTGATTAAATTTATCCTGTGTTACTTAGGGGATTGGTTGAGACAACCTCTGTGCTGCTAACAAGTATTTCTGAGTGGCCAGGTGGTTTCTGATGCCATCTTCAAAAAGAAAGGAAAAAAAAAACCCAAAACATTGAGTTAGAGAAATGTGACTTACAAGGTAAGAGGAAAAAAATAAGCTTTTAGTATAGTGAAGGGAAAAAAAAGATGGCAACGCTCTTCAAATACGCAATAGGTTGCTGTGAAAAATGAGATATTACATTACCTCCAATGTCCTCTGGGGATGGTAAAAGGAAAAAAATAGTAATGGGCTTAAAATTGGAGCATGGGAGATTTAGGCTAACTTTTAGTGAAAGCTTTTTAACCAAGTGTAATTAAGCACTGAAACAGGTTGTCTAGGGAGACTGTAGACTCTCCATCATTTGGAGTGCTAAAGAACAGGCCAGACCAACATTTGTTAGGAATGGTAGATACAATCGGTCTGGCTTTTGGGGCAAAGGGATGGATAAAAAGACTTCATCTCTGTGTTTCTAGATTTCTGTGGTAACAGTGCCAGACCTACAGATACAATGAACAGATTATAAAGCTGGAACAACCAAAGTGCATTTAATCTGACCTCATGTATACCACATAATTCATAGAAACACCCCTGAATTATTTTTCAGACCTTTTTTCTGCAATGGATCTTTTAGAAAAATGCAATGTTGATTAAAAACCTGATAATGATGCAGAATCCACCACAAGTGCCCATAAGCTGTCACAGGGATTAATTAACCACATTCTTAAAGAAGTGCTAGTGTGAATGACTTGAACTTTAAGACTACAAAACATTGACCGCAGTTTTCCAGATGAAAGCAAGCTAATTTTGTTTAGGGACTGAAAAAAAGAACCACCACCACCAAAAAATAAACAGGAAATTAACTCTAGCCTTTCCACAAAGAACTGCAATTTGAATGACATCCACGGTTAAAAGGAATCATACATGAGAAGAGGGCAAGGTGCATCAGCATGATAACTAGAAAGGGGTCACAAGAAGACAGAAGAACTTCTTGTAGGTCAGTTCGACTATTCAAGATAGGTTTCATTCAAAAGAATCATAATTCATTTTCCTGGTGAACTGTGGAGCAACACAGGTAAATGCTAATCAATGCTGTACAGTCAAATAATAGCTTATCCTAAGGAAGGATTGATAATATTAATTTAAATAAACATAACAATGACAAAATATAGACAGCCTTGCTAAGAACTCTACAGGGTTTTACTCAACTGTGTAACTACTACCAGCGTGATTAGCATCTAATCTTACTTAGTATCTATTATATGAGAGCTATTTAATCTCAAACTCACCTCAGAAACAGCAAATAAAGTAAAAACTTCTATTTGACATCATATGATGGTACCCATTTACCTTTCCAGCCGTCTGTAACAACTACATGTTAGAAAGAGTTTTATAGAAGTCCCCTAAAAATGCTGTCATTTCATCATGGCTGATTTCATTTAGTCCTGGCCCTCATTTCATCTGTTAACAAACCAATCAGCTCCTTGAAAGGCAAATGTTATTCGATTAGCTCATTAGCAGGTAGCTAAAACTAGCTAAAAGAGTAGCTTTCCTATGTACAGGGACTTTACTAATATGAAGTGAAGGCGTCACAAAGCACACCCACATATCGTGATGCTGATATACTGTACATACCATTGGATCTGCTGGCTTCTCTTTACATAGTGCAGTGAGCCCAGCTAGTAATGTAGGCTTTACATACAGGTTCAAGTAATCCCTAGCTCTTTGTCCAGCTGGAACTGGCTCCAAGATCACTGTAAAGAGTAACCACAGGTGTTAGAAAGCAGCTTGTGGAGTGATTTAAAAAGGCATTCTTTCAAAGGTTGTTTATATATGAGCTGCTCTTTTCCTTAATAAGTTAATAATACATAATGGATTTTATAGCTTCTCCCACAACAAACTGCAGAGAAACTACCTGAACCCCTTTACAATGCCCCTGAGGTCATCTTACTAATTATAGACAATTATGAAAGGGGAGAAAATCTGATCACCTGGGGAAAACATATCCTTGAAGATGAATTGGGGCATGAGAGGAACAATATATCCCATGCTTAGTACTTCCTTCATGCAGTGTGAAGCTGGTTTCTGAAGACCCTAAAAATCTGACCTTAGGTCCAGCTTTGTCGTTAGGGTGAGGAGAAGAGACACGGTTTACAATGGGTAAGGTTTGTAGGGAAGTACAACATCTTTTATTAAACTAACTGATATGGTTGGCAGAAACAGCCAAGTTTCTCTGGCAGAGTTTCCCTTGCATCTTTCTGTCAAAGAGCAAAGCCATTGTTACATTACAAACGAGAGGTCCTCTCCCAGCCTTTCCAGGTTCTATGGCCCATTTCTCTGGCACTTAACTTTGGAATTGCACCATTGTGTGAGCATCCAGCTGCTGTTGAACCGGAATTACTCAACCTGAGCCCAAGAAGACAGTCTTCTCAAGCCAGCAGGAGTCCCCGGGGCTGGCAGTGCCAGAAGGACGTGCTGGACTGTAATAGCTTCCCACTCCTTCTCATTTACCAGCTTTGTCTGCTCCAACGCCCAGACCACAGAGTTTGAAAAGTAGAAGCAATCCCTGTAACTATAACGGCTCTTCTGATACATTTTGGTATGCCTTCCATAGCAGAAAATATCAGTTTACACATAGAGAGACTCATATTCTTATAAAGCGAACAAACCCAACCTCTTCTAAATGAATTTGTTTCTAGAGTCTGGACAGAGACAAGTAATAACGGGGAAGGACACTATCCTCCCAAAGACTGGCAATGTATTATTTGCACCATTTTACCTTCTGGAAACATGAATCGAATTTCTCTTTCTGCTGAGGAAATGCTGAAACTGCCGTGGAGTGCATTCCTCAGATCATCAGTCCCATAGATTGCTCTTAAGCTAAAAACAAGAGAAAAAACTACTTGGCAACTGCAAATCCCTTCCAAGTCTCTGTGGCGTGAGAACATACAAAAGCAATATATATGGACTAGTTAACAAGGCATTGGCTTAATTTAGTTTTTAAAAAAAATACATAGCCACCTAGAATTTATGTTCATGCACTCACCATTCTCCATAAAATGGGTGAACTTTACTTACTAAAAAAACAAAGGTGAAAAGCTGTTAGACAAAACCAAAGAGATAACAGGTCATTCCAAATCTGTATATCTATTGTAAAAGGGGGGGGGAAAGGAGAGACAGAGAGAGAGAGGGAGAGATTCTGGTCTCGATTAAGAGAAAGACAAAATCTTACTGACTTCACCAAGGCCAATCAATGAGTTACCTGTGAGGGTGAGTTCTCCTAGCTTTTATGCTGTTTGATGGTCCAAGCAACTCCTTCCAGTATGAAACTGCGCAATGTCTGGCAAGCACCATAGCAACTAGAGGTCCAGAACTCATATAGGCTGTTAAATTAGGAAAAAATACTTTTCCGTATTGGTCTGCATAAAAGTTGCTACATTGCTCTGGGCTTAACTGGAGCTTCCGTTTCTATAAATTGTAAAAGAAAAAAGGAATGAAAAAAAGCTTGCCAAACTAAGATAGCTTAGTCCCTCAGGTAGGACAGGGTCCTCTGGTGCAGAACAGGCACGCAGTAATGGCCCAGCCGCATCTGATTCTCCCAGATCTGATCCTCTTTGAGATACAGAGTAAAAGAGAGCAACAGTTCTCCAAGTTAATTAAGCAGACAATAACAGGCCATTTGAGTAAGATGTGATTTTAGCCTACAATACACAAACCACAGCATTTTGAAACTGCTGGATGACTTCAAGTACAGTCAGGACACAGTACAGAAAAAGCAAAGAGCATTACAAGGGCAGGATTTAATTACTCAGCTGCTCCTGCATAACGCTCTACTTTTAAACAATTTTCTCTTCAGCCCACACTGTTAATTATGCAATTGTTCTGTTTTTAATTCCGTACTCCTGCTTTGCGCCTCTCACAACAGCTCCTCGCCTGCAGGTGCCCAGGATTAGGACATGTTGGGACGTTGTCAGAAGGCACAGGGCAGTCACAAAAAGAAGAGTTTGTTTTTTTTTTTAAAGTGCATTCTTTGAGCCCGAACTCATGCAACACAAGAGTACCCCAAATTCAGATTCCTAGTAAGTTTCGTGCCAAAAGTCACTGGAGACATCAGAAGATGCTATAAACACCTTGTCGTTAGGAAAAAAAAAAAAAAATCTCATTTCTCTCACTTTCTGAGATATTTCGTATAAATAAACCAACCAGAAAGGTAAGGGAAGACATTAAATTGCCACAAATATGAAAAAGAATAGAAAAACGATTACATTTCAGGGGGGAAATCTTAAAATTCGATCTAGAAGAGCAGTGGTTGGTCACTCAGTGCCAGAGAGCCAGGGGCGCTGCCGCGGGGGCGACGTGAGGAGGAGGGAGAGGGAGGGAGAGGGAGGAAGAAGGAGGAGGAGGGAGGAGGAGGGAGGAGCCAGAGGAGGAGGA